TCTCATTATTTATGATTGGAAAAAGTGTAGCTCGCAGTTTTGTTATTATATATTGATTTATTTATTATTTTCATATATTAATTTTGATTATCATAATTTTATGCGTAATTAAAATGTTTAGATTAAAATTTATTGAATTAATTTTACCATCTAAGATTGTACTTCGACATCAAATTCTAAGCTGTATTTTCCCAAAGTTCATTGTATCTCAAAACGGGTGAATAAGATTATTATAAATGATGTTTAAAAAATTTTTTAACGAAAAATGATTAAATGATTATACATTTATTTTCATTTTTAATCATCTGATTAAAATTTTATTATTTTTTATCACTGAAGTTAATCTATACAAAAAATTTAACCATATCTTTAGTTAAGAGTAAAACTATAGGCTGATATTAAACATAATATCAACTTGAATATTTTTTAGCCATATTAAAATAGAATTATAATTTAATGTCATCTGAAAATTTATTGTTTTGATAAGGTAAATTATTATTCTAATTTCTGTAATACATTACAAAATAATAAGAGAACTATGAGTGATTTTAAAACATGGAAATATCAAATATATTTTATTCAAAATCCACTAGCTTGTTTATTCTTTATTTTGTATGCTTGAATTTTATTGAAAAAATCTAGGAAAAGCAGCATTTGCGTCTTGTGTAACACTATTATTAACATGTTGGTCCCTAAATTTGAAACTGGCCGTCAATTTGAGTTGAATATATAATTATCTGAAAGAGGCAAACAAAAAATTATATGGCAGGTGAACACAAAGCCACAAGTAATTATACAATAATAATTAAACTTGTTTTATTATAATATATTGACTTGGAAAGATGCATGCATAGCAGATATGCTTTGAATTAATGATTATATTTTTCTTGGACAGCTGGTGTAACTCAGTAACTGTAAGAATGATCGAGCTAGGGAAAAAACTAACTACAAAGAAGAAATATAATTATTGTCAAAAAATTTATTCGAATTATGATATACAATTTACATAGATCTTTTTATTCCGCACATGTGTCAAGATTAGAAACAATATGATTTGAAATACGGTTAGATATTAAATATAAGTATATTTTTAATAGCAATTCAAATTATAATTCACCAGATTATGTGTGACTGCTAGACCTAATCCTTGTTTTTCAATCTAAAAATTTTAATATGATTTTTTCAAAGATATATTTATTCAATTATTATAAATTTATTTTTATAAACAAAAAAATAACTGAAATAAAGTGCAGGGATTAAAGTTTCATTGTCTCTATTTTTTATTCTAATCATTTAATAATAAATTATTGATTTATTGTTATTAACAATCCTTTTTATCAATATATTATAATTGAAATTAATAACATTTGAAAAATAACATCACAGCTTATATATAACAATTACACAACCCGTTATTTTTATTTAAAGTGAATTGATAAAAACTGTAGATAAAATTTTATGTTTTTTATAGTTACATTGAAAATAAATCATAAGACACCTATTTTGAAAAATTATCTCTCAAAAATAATCAAAACAGAGAACTTCTAAAGGATAAAATGAGAATTTGAAGAGTATCCTGATTCCTGATAGATTTTCAAGTCTTTTAATAGTTAAAAATGTAATATCTGCAAATTATGTGACTCAAATTTCATATAAACCTCAAGACTCACATCACAAGCTGAAGAGCAACAATATACCAACAACAACAACAACAAGCCTTTATCCCATTAGGTGGGTCGGCTACATGGATTGCAAGACGCCATTGTGCTCTATCATTTATCAAGCTTTTAGGAATATTATTAATTAAGAGATCGCGTTCAACAACTTCCAAAAGTGTTCTCTTAGGCCTTCCTCTACCTCTCTTAATAATCGGACTCAAGTTATATGTTCCACTCTTCTCACTGGTGCCCCCTAGGTCTTCTTTGTACATGCCCAAACCATCTCAACCGATTTTCTACCATTTTTTTCCTTCCTCAATAGGTGCCACCCTCACTTTTTCCGTATGTGCTCATTTCGAATTTTATCTTTACGTGTATGTCCGCACATCCATCGTAACATTCTCATCTCTGCTACTCCAACTTTATGCTTTTGCTGTCCATTAGAGCCCAACATTCACTACTATATAACATTGCCGGTCTGATAGCAGTGCGATAAAACTTTCCTTTAAGTTTTATTAGGCACCTTATTACGGTCACAAATAACTCCTTTAGCTTTTCTCCAATTAAACCACCCAGCTTGAATTCTATGTGAAATATCTCCACTGATTTCGCCATCATTTTGAATAATGGCTCCCAAATATCTAAACTTTTCCACTTGAGGTATAATTTGATCTCCCAATTTCACTTCCAAATTATTTTCGAATAGTCCTTTACCAAATTTACAATAAAAAATATTCCATCTTACTTCTACTCAGACGAAAACCTTTCGACTCCAATGTCCTCCTCCATAACTCAAGTTTGCAGTTAACCTCTTCTCTTGTCTTTGCTATAAGAACTATATCATCCGCGAAGAGCATACATTTCGGGATTTCCTCTTGAATATGTTCCGTCAAAACATTTAAAATCAAATTGAACAAATAAGGACTCAGAGATGATCCCTGATGTAGTCCAATCTTTATAGGAAAATCCTTTGTTGACCACTAGGCGTTCTTATACTAGTTTTTACCCCCCTCATACATATCTTGTATGGCTTTAATATAAGCAATCCGTACTCCCTTTTTTTCCAACGCTTTCCAAAGCACTTCTCTTGGTATACGGTCATAAGCTTTTTCCAAATCAATAAAAACCATGTGTAGATCTTTATCTTTACAACGATACTTTTCCATTAATCCCCTTAGTAGATAAATTGCCTCTGTAGTTGATCTACCTGGCATAAAACCAAATTGATTCTCAGAAATACTTGTCTCCAATCTCAACCTGTGCTCAATTACTTTCTCCCACAATTTCATTGTGTGGCTCATGAGTTTAATCCCTCTATAGTTAGTACAATTCTGAATATCTCCTTTATTTTTATAAATAAGAATTAATGTACTTCCCCTCCACTCATCAGGCATTTTCTTGGACCGTAAAATCACATTAAATAACTTAGTTAACCATCTCACCCCTTCTTCACCTAAACATTTCCACGCTTCGATAGATATACAATCAGGTCCATTGGCTCTACCATTTGCCATTTTCTTAAGAGCTTCCTTTACCTCCTTATCACGTATTATTCGATAGAATGACAAATTTTGTTTTCCTTTACCAGTTACTAAATCCTCTAAGTTACTAGATGAATCCTCTCCATCATTGAAAAGTTTAGAAAAATAAGTCTCCCATCTATTTTTAATTTCATTATCTGTAACTAAAATTCTTCCCTCTTCATCCTTAATACACCTTACCTGTTCTAGATCTCTTGATTTTCTTTCCCTACTCTTGGCAATCTTATAAATATTTTGCTCTCCTTCCTTCGTCTCAAGGTTCTTATAAAATTCTTCAAAAGCTTTAGAACGAGCTTCACCCACAGCTTTCTTAGTTTCCTTCTTAGCCATACGGTACCTCTCCCAATTTTCCTCATTGTTACACAAATGTATGGCTTTAAAACAGTTCTTCTTATACCTGATTTTGTCCTGTACACTATTATTCCACCACCAAGACTCCTTATCTCTCGAACCAGAATCTTTCGATTCTCCCAAAACTACTGTTGCAACCTCCCGTATTTTTTTCGCCATATCCTCCCATATGATGTTAGCACTTCCTTGAGAATCCCAAATTCCTTTATCCAAAAGCTTTCGCTTGAAAATATCTTACTTCTCACCTTTTAATTGCCACCACCTAATCCTTGGTGTTACTACTTGTCGACGTTTTTGAATTTTACTCATAATACATACATCATGGACTAAGACCCTATGTTGTGTCGTTACAGCATCTCCGAGGATCACCTTACAATTTTTACAAAGTTTTCTATCTGTGTTCCTAACCAAAAGAAAATCAATCTGTGACCTTGATGCTCCACTTTTGTAAATGATGAGATGCTCATCTCTCTTCTTGAAACAAGTGTTGGCAATCTTAAAATCATACGCCAATGAAAAATCAAGAAGAGTTTGTCCTTCATTGTTTAGCTCTCCAAAACCAAAACCACCATGCACCCTCGCATACTGACCAGCTTCCCTCCCGACATGCTCATTAAAGTCTCCTCCAATAAAAATCTTTTCACTCTGTGGTATGTGTCGAATCAACCCCTCCAGATCCTCCCAAAATAATTTCTTAAGACTGGCTTCTGTCTCGACTTGCGGCGCATAAGCGCTAACAATATTAACAGTCTCACGTCCAATTATCATTTTTAAAGAAATAATTCTGTCTCCAATTCTGCTAACTTCTACAACGTTCTTCTTCCACTCCTTATCTATAATAATGTCTACTCCATTGCGTGCACTTACTTTTCTTGTATACCAAAGTTTGAAACCTTGAATATCCTTAGCTTCTTCTCCACGCCATTTTGTTTCTTGCAAGCAAAGGATATTGATTTTCCTTTGAATCATAACCCCTACAACCTCTACAGATTTACAATTTAAGGTCCCAACATTCTAAGTATCAAATCTAATTTTGCTCTTATGAACTAACTTCTTTAGCCGCGTGCGTCCAGAATGACGCGATAGCCCTTGCTCATTTAACACTACATCCGGGCGCCGATGCAGCGGCTCTAACTCACTTATCACTGTACTCGAGCCATGCAGCGCGTTACTTACGGGCAACGACCTAGCATTAACATTATAACGTCTATTATCCATGTTCATGATAGATTCAACAAATTTTTACATTGGCTGTTGATAGCCTAACACAACCCTCCTCCTTTACTCGGGCTTGAGACCGACTATAAACATAGGCGGAGTTTCCAAAAGTAATTTACATATTGACCTAAATTTTATATCAAGCAAAAACTGCAAAACTCGGGCACTTATTTCAAGGGGAAAAATGCACGTCATGCAGAATCAATTGGAATTGGTTATTGCAGCATGCACGTCGTCTTCAAGATTTGTCCTCTCTTATGTGAATAGTAGAATTTAAAGGGAAGCAGCAGCTCATGTAAACCATGTTAGTGTGCACCACGTACTGTTTACGAATAATATTAATCGAAATAGAAAAGGGGCTGAAACTTACAAGCAGCAGCACTCGGAAAATCTTTACAAAACATGATGACGATACATAATGAATAGTCGCTCAGCAGTTAGAATCGGCGGATTTCTTTGGGAGGCCTAAAATTGAGGGGATGGGTTTCTGGTGTTGCAGTTTCGTCTTCTTTCCACATTTTGATTGTCTTGTCAGCTTCACAACTAATCAGCCTTGAACCCGTTGCATCGTAGGTCAGTGCATAAATACCAGCTTCACTGTCCAATGATCCTGATCATCCAAATTCGATTAATTCACAATACCCAATATCAGTAATGGTATCCACACACACCCACACAATAATTATGTCTTTCCTTATCATAATTTAATGCATTACAGAACCTGAAGAATGAGCAGCACTATTTATGGCTCATGAATCATACAACTTAATAGACTTCTTATATTATATATAGATAAATAGATTTCAAAAGGGTACAAATATACATACCAGGTTGTACAATTGTTTGCGCCTGCTGGAAATTGTGACCACTCTTCCAATCCCAAAACCACAAACTCCCATTGTCACCTTCAGCCAGAAGAAAAGAAGCTTTAAATCAATGAACGAATGAAGAGATATCTATACCAATGTATGTTCCTTCTGGGCTCTTCTGACAAACCATCAAATTGCCACATAAATTTATTGACATAAACAAATTCATTATAATCTACACTAGAGAAGTACTGTTTGAAGTCTATACCTCCAGTGACCATCACGCCCTCCTCATTGACAGCCATCGCATTGATTATGGTTTTCTGCTGAGAGCTGCATTTAAGTAAATCAGTACATAATAATGGTCAAAATATGTTACTAGTGGTGAATCTAATTAAAAATCACTTTTAAGAGATCAGGCTTCAAAATATCCATTATATTTTGAAGGGGCTTCAACTTTTTGAACAGTTGCAAAAGTACTTAAGAAGATTGTAATACACAATACATTAGAATTTTTTTTTTTTTTAAAAAAGAGAGTATCGAACCCCCTCCACCCAACCAAAAAAAAAAAAAACATCAAAGAATGGAAGAGAAAAATAAGCTTGTAGCCAAGGAAGTAAATTCTCCAAATAGATTGTAGCAAGATTATACGTACATAATAACATCTCAACTCTTCAACAGTTGAAAGAGAAACTTTTCTACTAGTTACTATGTTCTAGTTCTGAGTAATCAATCAGACTTTTCATAGTCATCCCAGATCACACAAGAACAAGAAACTAATAAAAACATATACTAATTGCAAGTTGAACCACTCACAGCATGTTATGCATAAATTCTCCTTTTGGAAGGTTGAATTTCTTAATGTTGTCGGCTGATGCAGATGCAAAACACTGCCTGAAGGATATAGGAAGGGAAGTGGGTGAGAAGATAAATAATACAATATTTAAATAAAATGAACCACATTTCATCATTTTACAAGCAACAAACAAAAGATATGAACACATACTCCTTCGGATGTGGGGCCATTGCTCGAACTGATTTTTTATGGTTTGTAAGTGTTACCATTGTTTTACCTGCAAGGATTCATCACGTCAAATCAAATATAAAACACATAAAGAGAATCAGATGCAACAAGAGGAGACAAACACAAGAAAAAATAGGGGGAAATCATAAATTACCATATCTAAGGTCCCAGAATTTAATGGTAGTGTCGTGGGAACCAGTAACAACTTGTGGATCCTGTAAACATGATAAGAAAAACACATCTGTAAGACTAACAATCAACAGATAGGTAACATAAATAAATAATAATAGCTGCAATTAAATGTTGAATTCCACATGTCTTTTAATTTTAAAATCAAACAACTTCAATTTAAGCCATGCCATCTGCCAACTCAGCCTGTTTGTCAACAGCTGGTCCATCTGATGGAGGATATTGGCAAGTCATAAAACATAAAGCCATGGAGAAAAGTCTTGAACAAACCGAATAACGTGCCATTAGAATCATGAAGATTATCAGGATTCAGGCACACAGTACAGATAGATATATAGACAACAGAATGAGAAGCTACATACAGTTGGGCGGGTAAATACAGAGCAGACAGTGTTATCATGACCAGATAGTGCATGGATTTGCATTTTACTCCGTATATCCCAGACCTGAAAAGTTTGAAGCACCAGAACATAGTTATCGCCTTTCTAATTTTTCATTAATAAGGAAACGAAAAGTTAGTTTAACAACATTCAAACTGAAAGCATGACATCCATCACAATGTTCTGTGAAGTGCTATATTGACAAGTTCATACTCGGCACACAGAATCACGTCCTCCAGTCAGCAAAATGTCTATCGTAGGATGAAGAGCCAGGCAATAAACACCACTTAGATGACCATGATAAGACCTGATAACCTAAATAAAAATCCATGTGCATAAAAAGTTACAAGTCTTTAAGAATTCCTGAAATTCCAACCAAAGAAAATATTTGTGAAATGGGGACTTACCTTATTCTGTTCAAGATCCCAGCATTTGACTTGTTTGTCATCACCAGCAGAAAACATGTAGGTATGTTTTTGGCTAACAGCAAGGCCTACATAGAAAATCCACTGTTATTATTGACCTGGTTTTGCAATTGTTGCCTCCACTGGCATTACTAATTGCGTTAGAATCTTACCCCTTATTTGTTCAATGTGACCTGTTAATGTGAGCTTTAGCCTTCCACTTGCCAAATCCCATATCTGCCCAACTGAACATTTAGCGAAGAAAATACTGCTGTTTGACTAGAACAAAATAAGACAATATTCTAGACATGAAGAGACATCAATAGGTTTCCTTTCATTTCATCCCAATATACTTGTAAGCAACAGTGGCATGCATTTCAGGATTAAATACCTTAATGGTTCGATCTGCAGAACCAGTACAAAACCAAGTATTGCTGGGATCAACAGCAATAGATCTCACCCACCCCAAGTGACCACTGATGACCTATACAAAAGAAACCAAATATTTTATCAAATTCATATTCCAGTTATAGAATCCACCAAGAAATAATGCAGTTAGATATGGTCATAATGAACAAATAAATACATTAGTGACACATAGAAACCAAGAGCAAGAATAATCATGCTCAAAATTGAATTGCAATTTGCTAAAAATGACTGTATTTAATGTGATAGTTCACAAGGCAAACTAGAAAAATGGAAACACCCTCGAACCCCAAGCTTAAAAATAATTCAGAAAATAGCTCTAGCTTACTCCATAAGACATACCATTGTAAATTAACAAAGAACACACAAATAAATTTTTCAATAAGAAATTCACGTTATGTATAACCGAAGTGCCTTGAAAATAATATCAACAGAAAGATAATTACTGGACAAATAAAAAGAAGCATGCAAGTACAAAAATGCATAAAAAATGTCAAGCTGCTGTAGAAATTTGAAGTGACAAATAATCACAAAAGTTTCAAATAAAACTAATTGGACCTTCATGCATATAACTGAGCAATTCATTTGAACAAGAAAAGGCTACAATGCTAATATTACTCTTCAACACCAAGATCTGACTTAAGGGGTAAAAACTTACCCTGTAGTTCTTCCATGGTGCATGCCATACAGGACGTGGCCATTTACTAGGGATTCTTTCCATTAAAGCAGATGTTGAGAAATTCCTGTGACGTACAAACTAAAATCATTAGTCAAATAAGATAATGCCACTGAATGTCAATCATGAGTCATGTATAAATTAAAATCCTAAAATGTAAAATGCAAACACAAAAATTGAGAAAATGGCACAATATAAAGAACACAACCAACAGTTCAAAAATTATACTCTTTTGAGATAATAAAATAAGATCCGTAACCATGAACAAAACTCATTCTTAAATCTCTTAAATTATAGAACAAATAGCAAGAGCTAAAACCTTTCAGATGAACCAGGGGCAGAAATAATTGCCGCACTTTTGCTTGGAAAACCAAGGTCATTCCTGTTGAGAAACAAAAACACAACCATGATGTGATTTTAACATCTTTTCAAAAAACCTGTCCACTGAGTGTGTTGCACTCAACAGAAGGGAGAGTCAGTATGCATCAATGAATCAACATTATTGATTCCACTCTTTAACAACAAACAATATCAATGTAAAATGTAAAATCCATAAGGAACCATACTATTTGCAACCCATGAATAGTACAGCTGTCTATAGCCAACTCCACCTAGTGAGATAAACTCCACGCAACATTTTTTATTCTTTCAACTTTCTCCACGCATTTCATTAGGCTCCGTGAAACTTTGTTTTTTATCCTTTCAATAATTTTTTGGTTCAACAGAAGAGTACTGTTTCAAACTCATGACTTCATTGGTGAAATTAAAATGCTTTCTCTTAATATTCTTCACTTATTTCAAAAGTGTTTAAACATTAAAAAGAGTACAAATTATCGTGTGTAGCATGCAAAGAAAAAATATATTTTATCCAAAATAATTACAGTTTCTCCATACAATAAAAAGTAAAATGAAAAGAGAAGTCAAATAGGAAAGAGAATTTCCTAAGCAATTGTCTCTTTCTCAAGTTTTGAAAATAAAATGCCTTACCTTTTTTTATCATAGTTGTGCAATCTTTAAGCTGCTAAAAAAATTCGCATAATTTACATAAAAGATTTAAAATAATGGCCATCTCCAAGTTTAAGTAAATCAGACAGGCCATTCAAATCATACGTTGGAATATCATATACAAAAAGATATAGCAAACCACGAAACTATGCAACAGATAATAATTCTCAAGAGCTATAAAAGGCTGTTATTTCAGATATCACAAAAATGATAAACTAAGTATCACATACAGTCAGATTTTATAGCAAATCACAAAACGATGCAAAAGATAATTCTTTTCAACAGCCATAACATGCTATTATTCCAAAAGTTCGCAAAAAAGAACACAATCTAAGTACCTTGAAGGAAAAAAAAAACAGTGGGATGAGAGGGAGTACTTACGATGCTGGAGTTGGCATAGATGGGCCAACTACCAAAGCATTTTGTGCTGCTCCTTTCTTAGGATCCTTGGAATCTTCTGGACCTATGTACAATGATAGGGAACAAACATCTGAATTTAGAGCCCTAATAAAGCCTCTAGGATTGATGTACGAAGTATTCCATGGCAAAATGCTATCAGCAGCTCACCAAGAGTGAGAAGGGCAAAAAAATGGTAAGCAGAAACAATGAAATAAATGTAAAATTCCATAAACAGGGCAGAATTTCAACAACATGCAAGGTGACATTGAAACGTGAAACCATTGCTATAACATGCCAGCATGTAATTTTTTTTTTTTTAGCTAAAAGAATGTGTACATGGTATTAATGAGGAGAAAAAACGAGCAACACAAACAGTTCAAGAGTAAGAAAGATACAAATCATTATATATACGTCATGCATTTTTTTTGTTCACATCATTACTTTTTCCATGGTAAAGTAACATATAACAAAAAAAGTGATATCAAATTTACAATCCCATGAGAAATGCTCTTATGCTCTTCCTTTCAATGGAGTCATGGATGTTTCTAACACTTAAAAGTCAGTGCTCATCAGATATGGATGCCTACAACTTATTTTTCCTCACAAAAAATTATTTTTGGTTCTCAGTGCAAGCAACTATAATCAAATCCAAGAACAAGCACACATATATGAATATTTCTTTTGCTTGAAAAAATCTTGTAATCTTTCAGAATAATTTCCATCTGTCCTTCCAACTAGATGCATAAAGTAGATCTCTTAAGGTACTATCCAGGTTAAAAAAAAAAAAGATCTTTTAGTAAGTGAGGCTGATAAGTGATAAGTGATAACTAAATTGTATAACTCTCTTGTGGATGAGACAATAGCAATGAACCAAGAAACCACGTATCAAATGCAAATAAAATCATCATTGAGAAACTATATCATGACCATTTATAAGTCAATTGTTCCCAATTACATTCAGCTAGCATTCTTGCTTTTTTGCTCTTCCCGCCAATTCGATCTTATGACTCTATGGTTAAATGTGTAGTACATAACCAAACAACTGGAAGTCGGTCTGGCCAGCTAGCATTCTTGCTAGAGAATGCATATAGTAGACCGAAATGATAACTACACTCACAATACCTGGAAGAGCAAGTGCATTAGAGGGCCCTGGTTGTTGACTGTGATCTGATTGTTGACGAGGTTGATTAGCGGTGCTTTTGATTCCAGCATATTCCACATTCACCTAAGTTTCAATAGTATAAAAAAAAAAAATCTTAAAGCCACTCAGATGCATCTAAAGTTCGACAAATTCGCTTTTAGAGTCAACCAGATAACTCTTTTGATGCAGGCCAGCAATTTCAAATAAAAACCAAGATATTCAAAGGCAACACTACGTTAGTCTATAGAATTAACCGCCAACTTACCTTGTAGCTAATGCGAATTTTCTTGCTGCATAACAAAACACACAAGAAAGAGAGAAACATAGTCAACATTGGTGTCTAACAACTCAAAAGAACACATAAAAACTAAAAAGTCCCAATTTAAAGATTAGACATTAATGACAATAATCAATCAGTCATAACTCCAAACAACGCTAAAAGTTAAGACTTCAGAGGGTACCCAGTTGAAAAATGTAAATAAAAAATGATGAAAAGAAACAAATAAATACCTCTCGGCATCAGGTGGAGCAAGCTGGCCCTGGATGGGAGAGAAGAGATCGAGAGCACGCTTGAGGGACTTGAAACTTAGTTTCTTCAGTGATTGAGGCTCCACTGGCTCCAATTCTACAGTGGGGCCTGGCATCTTTGAGCTCCAATGGTTGTCTTAACTGTTAGGTTTTCAGCACTCTTCCAGCTTGCTTCAGTCAATATTTCGTCAATGGAAAGGCACTAGAAAGGAGAGAATGAAAGGGTTTGAGCAAATTGGAGAAAGACAGCACTGGCTTTTTGTGCAGCTGAGTGGCAGCCGAGTGTAGTGTGAAATGTGAAAATCATTAAATAGTTATAAAAATTTTAAATTAATTAATCAAATGAAATAGTATATAATATTGATTCAATATTATATTAAATCCTCTAGTGTTTTAAAACCTGGATTGGACCACGAACCTGAAATGTTAGTTGGTCACAGGTCTCATGATTTATCTGGTCGAATTGGTAATATAATAATTAAATAAAAATATTTACATACATAACTATATATATAAGAAATAAAATATTAATTTGACAAAAAAAAATCACAATATATTAAGTTATTAATACAACAACACCAGAAATTCAGAATATGTTCTAGTTGCACCACAATAACACCACAATATGTAAAATTTGTCCATAAAGTAATACATCAATACAAAATCCACGATATTATAACTTATAATTCACCAAAAAAAAAAGTCATAACTTCATCACTTGTCAAAGATTGGTGGATGATGTAAATATCCTACTGCTTTTTTTTTTCACAATAAGCACATTCACGAATGGAATTTCCTGAATGTTACAAATGCTAAAAATTACTATAGTATAGAGTTCTCTAAAATAAGTTTCAAGAATCAAGTTTTAAATGTGAAAACAAACTTCACAGTGCACGATCTTAGTAAATGATGTAAATATCCTAATGTTTTTTTTCCCCACAACAAGCACATTTTCAAGTTCATTTATACTAAAAGTTATTAGCAATGATCTTGAAAATCTGCATTTAACTAAGATAGGTTAATGACATGGAACTTCTGCAAACCCCTAGCTGAAACAACTCTGATAGATGATACAGAGCATATTACATTCTTCAACGCAATTACTTTCTTCTTAAACAGAATTAAACATCCCCTTAATCCATAAAAGCTATCAGAACATTAAAAATAAACTGGAACTACTTTTGACCGCAATCAGAGCCAAACATCACAAGATCAATCAACTGGCCACACAATCGGATTTAATAATCTTTCAAACAGCAGAGAAAAAGAAGAAAGCATCGCCAAGAATGTAACCTGGAAGTGGAGGATACAAAGATGAGAAGGGCGAAGACTCGACGCTACGCTACTGTTCTGAATCTGAAGGGTGAAGTCGTGAAGAAGACGAAGGTGAACCGTCGATCGCTGCTGAGCTCAGAGAAGAGTAAAGAAGACGAGCTCGAGCTCGAGCTGCTACTCTGCCATCATTGAGGAAGACTAAGAATGAAGAAGGGTGGAATGGAATGAAGGCCGAGGCCAACCGACACCGACCAACAGAAGACGAGACGGTAAGGTTGAGTTGCTGAGGCTGTGCCAAGTAGCTGAGACCTGAGACGGTGAGACTAAGACCTGAGAGGGGCTCAGAGTGAGACCTGAGAAGGGCTGAGACCGAAGACGGGTCACGAAAGAGGCGCCGCGTAAGTCATCGGGAAGAAGGGTTTTCAGATTTCAAAATGCCAAATATGCCCCTGGAAAGACCTGCTTGATCCACAAAAACCCCCTCAGGTTCCCGTCATTTTCATTTTTTTATGAACCTTGGCGGTTCAAAGCGGGGCAAAATCCAGGTCATATGCTGAAACAGGTTAAATGTTAAACCACACTGCTTCTTTTTTTTTTTTTTTTTCCGGGTAACAGTCTGATTGTCCGGATAAGTCCGGGTATGAAAACGATGAAATCCTCATTGGCAATTAACATTAACAATATATATTCCACTCAAAAAAACATTGACAATATATATATATATATATATATTTTAAAATATATATATTATTTATGCATGCAACAGATGAATCTATAAATAATAAAATCCATAAAAAATACGTGTCGAATTTGTTAAATTTGTTGCACGCCCTCGGTTTTAAATATAAGTTAATTTTAATTTTAATCAGTTTACACATACCAAGAAAAGTAGTTAAAGGCAACTCAAAGAATTAATGTTGCTAAAAAAAATTAAATTAGCTTTTAACATTACTTTTATTGATAACCCTAAACCCATGCATCCATCCACTACTATATTAATTTTTTCTACCCTTTTTTTTACTACCTCTGCATCACAGTTTTTAATAGTTGGCCAAAATACATCACAGATTTTAATACACCACATACATGAAAATAGAGTATTAACTAATAAAAAGGAATGAGTGATAAGGAAAATGACAGTAAAATCCTTTAAAATTTTATAAATGATAATATAATTTTTTGAAATGTCATAATTTCACTTAAGTCTCTAAGAACTTTTCTGTCAATAAATTTTAAATTAAAAATATAATTTTTCCCTTATCAATAAGTTTTAATTTCTTATTCAATTCTTGTAATTCTTTAAATAAAAATTATTATTCTTTAAACAAAATTGTGATTGAGATTTGTTATTTTGAGAACATGTTTTTAATAATAGAAATTACAATTGACAAGTTATGATTTCTTGTTTAACTATTATGATTCATAGAACAAAAGTTATTATTTTTAAACAAAAATTGTGATTAGGGTTTGTTTTTTAATAACAGGAATTACATTTATGAAGTTGTAATTTCTTATTCAACTCCTGCAATTCATAAAAAAATTATTATTTCTTAAACAAAAGTTATAATTAAAGCTTGTTATTTTCAATAAGAATAAATGGTTTTTTTTTTAAAATTTATTGACATAGAAGTTCCAAAAATTTCAATGGAAATTATGGTATTTTGAGGGATTGGACTATCATTTGTATAATTCGGGGAATTTTATCATCATTTTCCCTAAAAGATATCTTCTAAAGCTATGTTTTATAACTTGGAAAGCACATGAAACTTGTTAGAAGATGTGAGAAATGGCTAATAATTACCATTATAAGTTTTAAAAATATGATATAAGATGCAACTTAGCATATGTTTATAGTCAGTCTCAAACCTAAATGAAGGAAGAGGGTTATATCAGACCTTTAACAGCCAACAGAACACTTTGTTGGATCTCACATGAATATGGACAATAGATGCGTTTGTGCTAATGCTTGGTCGTTGCTTATAAATAACGCATTGTATGACTCGAGTGTAGTGACAAGTGAGTTAAACTTGTTGTATTGGCATTAGAATGTAGTGTTACATGAGCAAGGGTAGCTACATTATTTTGGATAAGCGCAATTAAAGAAGTTAGCTCACATGAACAGGATCAAATTTGGTATTTGGAACATTAAGACCTTGTATTGTAAATCTATAGAGGTGGTAAAAGTTATGATTTATATAATAATTAATATTTTGTACTTGCAGGAAACTAAATGTGTTGGTGAATAAGCTATAGATATTAAAGGTTTCAAATTTTGGTATACAGAAGAGTAAGCGCACAAAATGGGGTTTGTACTATTGTTGATGAGGGTGGAAGAATAATGTGATAGAAGTTAACATAATTGAGGACATAATTATTTCCTAAAAAATGATCATTGGATTTGAGACGATAAATATCATTAATATTTATACACCTCAAGTTAGGGCAAAAGCCTATCTTAAAGAATTGTTTTTAGAAGACTTAAAGGGATTGATTTAAAGCATACCACAAAGCGAAAAAAAAAATCTTAGAGCAGACTTTAATGATTATGTTAGGAGGGAGATAGGTAATTATGCAAGGGGTTATGGTAGTTTTGGTTTTGGGGAGCTCAACAAGATTGCCAACACTTGTTTTAAGAAGAGGGATGAGCATCTCATCACTTACAAAAGTAAACATTCAAGATCATAGATTGATTTCTTTTTTTGTAAGGAACACGGATAGAAAATTTTATAATAATTGTAAGATGATTCCTGGGGATGGTGTAACAATACAGCATAGGGTCCTTGTCTTTAAAAAGTAAAAATAAAAAGTGACAATAAGTAGTTAACCCAAGAATTATACGGTGGTAGTTAAAAGGTAAAAAGCAGGAAATTTTCAAGTAGAACTTTTAGCTGAATGAATTTGGAATCTCAAGAAAGTGCTAACATCTTGTGAAAGGATATGCCTAAGAAGGTAAGAAAAGTTTCTAAAGAAGTTTATGAAGAATCAAAAGGTTTTTGGTTCAAGGGATAAGAAGTTTTGGTAGTGGAATGAGAATGTATAGGAAAATGCCAAACATAAAAAAATTTGTTTTAAAGCCATCTATTTGCACAATAATATTGAAAAATGGGAAAGGTATCGTGTGGCTAAGAAGGTGTCTAAGAAAGCTGTGAATGAAGCTCGTTTTAAAACATTTGAAGAGTTTTACAAGGATATTGAGATAAAGGATAGAGAATGAAAAATTTATAAGATTACTAAGTGTAGAAAAAGAAAATCAAGAAATTTAAAAAAGATAAGGTGTATAAAAGATAAAAAAAGAGGAGTTTTGGTTCTAGGCAATGATATTAAAGACCAATGAAAGACTTATTTTTATGAACTTTTCAATGATGGAGGAGTTCGTCTTGTAACTTGAAAGATTTAATAACTCGTGAAGGAGAATAAATTTGTCATTCTATCAACGGATGCCTAGTAATGAGGTAAAGGAAACTCTTAAAAAATGACAAATGGTAGAGCCAATAAACCTAAATGTATCCTTAATGAAGTATGAAAATGTTTAGGTAAAAAAGAAGTGTTGTGGCTAACTAAATTATTTAATGAGATCTAATGATCTAACAAAATGCTTGAAGGATAGAGGAAAAGCACTTTAGTTCCTACTTACAAAAATAAAAAGAATATTTAAAATTGTATAAACTACAAAGAGATTAAGTTTATGTGTCATAAAATGAAATTATGGGAAAAAGTGATTGAACATAGATTAAAATTGGAGACTGGTATTTTTAAGAATTAATTTGACTTTATTCTGGATAGGGCATTTCCAAGAGCGATTTATCTACAAATGAGGTTAATGGAAAAATATTGAAGCAAAGGTAAAAATTTACATGTAGTTTTTATTAATTTAAAAAGTTATGATGACCATGTACTAAGAGAAATACTTTAGAAAGCCTAGGAAAAGAAAGGAGTTCGAGTTGCTTGTATTATAGCTATACAAATATGTATGAAGGGACAACAATCAGTATAAGAATGCTTAGTGATAAAACAAAGAATTTTCCTATAAAGATTGTACTACATTAGGGATCATCTTTAAGACCTTATTTGTTTAACTTAATTTTAGATATTTTGACTAAGCATGTTCAAGAGAAAATCTCTAAATGCATGCTTTTTACAAATGCTATAGTCCTTATTGCAGAATCAAAATAAGAGATTAATTATAAACTTGAGTTATAGAGTAGAACCTTGGAGTTGAAGGGTTTTCCCTTAAGTAGGAGTAAGATAGAATATTTGCATTGTAATTTTAATAAGAGGTCAGTTAGTAGTGACTTGAAAGTGAGATTGGAAGATCAGATTATACCTTAAGTGAAAATATTTAGATATTTGGAAGATATTTTTCAACATAATAGAGAAATTGATAGGGATGTTGCACATAGGATACAAGTTATGTGGTTTAATTGAAGAAAGGCTAAAGGAATTATTTGTGATCAAGAGTTACCTAATAAACTTAAAATGAAGTTTTATTGAACTATTGTAAAACTAGCTATGTTGTATGGCAGTGAATATTGAGTTTTAAAGTAGGAGCATAAAGTTAAAGTAGCATATATAAGAATGTTGATGTGGATGTGCAAGCATACACAAAAAGAATAAAATCCGAAATGAACATATAAAAGAAAAAGTAAGCGTCGCATCTATTCAAGGAAAAATAATGGAAAATTGTTTGAGATGATTTGAACATGTATAGAAAAAGCTGTGGGAGGCACTAGGAAGAAGAGTGAAATAGATAATTTTAAGCTCTATAAAGAGAAGTAAAAGAAGACTAAAGATAATACTTATGGAAGTTGTTGAATGAGACCTTGTAGTTAATAATATTCTTAAAAGCTTGATTGATAGTAGAGCATAACGGCATCATACAATCTATCTAACTGATTTTGTTTAGTGGAATAAGGTTTGTTGTTATTATATAATATAAGATGCATTTAGGAGTTAATTGATGAACAAATTATGGTAGACAGATGCATTTTCTTTTCTACCTCCAGGTTGTTTATTCATCACTTCAAGTGACATTCTTCGTTTCACGGCCACACCACCTGCCAGATCAATTTAAAGGTATTTAACATAAAAACTTTTTTATTGCAATTGCAGTAAATGAGCTTTTTCTTGCCACATTCATAAGTTGCATCCTTGCTTTCCATTTTGTTTTAGTCTCCTGTTTATGATCCATTGTCTTATAATCCCATTTTTCTACCTTCTGCATGTCTTCTTTGCAACAAATAAATCTGCATAAACGAGTTGTGCCTTTTTTCCCCCCCTCTTACGCGCATATTGCTATGCCACTTTGAATCCAATCCTTCTGCCATAATTAGTACAAAACTTGCAAGCTTTTAAATGCAATCAAAACCACCGCAAGTTTGGAGATTATCCAATCTCGAGTAAATGTTTGATGGAAAGATACTTAATCCCTACAATTTTGAAGTTAAAAATTTGCTGAAGGGGAGAAAATGTTTGTCTTGAGACGAAATGTGAACAAAATTGCATAATATTTCCGAGCAGTTGATGTCTTCTTTACAGGACAGATTCTGGTTCAATAAATCCACATACAGGCAGCTTTGCTTTGCTTAATTCAGCATCTTAAGCTGATTCTAGAACTGAAAGTGAGAGCAGAAGGGAATACAAATATTTACTACTACTTACACCATTTACTATTTCCTGTACAAAAAGACACTCTTCTTTTCACTATAGTATTCACTCTGATTTAATTACAGATTTATAATAAAAACTCGTGTAATCTGTGCCTGCCGTCTGTATTTTGCTGAAGTACTTGCCAAAAGAGTTAAAAGTTTGAATGATAAACATGCAGTGATAGTAAATTGAAGCTCTCCCTACAGAGGGATCCAACCCTGTTAATGAGGAACTGGTGTGAGGTCAATCTCATATTTAGAAGCTTTTCTAGAGGCAAAAGAAAGAGGATAGATGAGTTGTTTGTACCTTGATTAGTCCCATCTCAGTACCACAAAGAATAATGTCATTGGCAGAGAGGAGACTGGTTATCTTGCTTCCAGCTGATATTCTTCCTACTTTTTTCTGGGTCCTTCTCAACCATATCTGCTTTGGGAGGTGGATTTAATGTGAGTCATTTCAATCATTGGTTTCTGGTTAGATTTGTACATGTAAAATAGCATATACCGTATAATTCTCACTAGTTTCCATTTTTCTCTGTGGTAAAATCAATGCAAAATGGAGTTAAGATGTCTGTCGTGTCTTGCCAAGAGTAAGTGAGCACAACTGCCATTTTCAAAAACACATACAGTGCTGAAGCTGGTAATTTAAACTAAGGGAAAATGCAACATTTGGTCCCTGAACTTTTTCTCCATTATTAATTCAGTCCCTAAATTTTAACTCAAAACAATTCAGTCCATGTAGTTTCTTCTTTCTTAACCTAGAATAATTCAGTTTTTATAGTTTTTGACTCAATACAACCCAGTCCCTATAATTCTTTAACTCAATAAACTATAAGGGCTAAGTTGTAATAAATCAAAATTCAAGGACTAAACTAATAATTGAAAGAAAGTTTAGAGACTCATGTACTTTTAATTACCTGAATGTTATTTGTTAATGAGCTGGTGATGACGTATACAAAGTCCTCCACTACTTCCATGGCAATAACACTATCTCCTTTGCCAGTAAAAATGGAAACTTGAGGTTTCCCATTTCTCTTCCATTCCTGGATATTTCCTCTTTGTCAGTAAAAAGCAGCAACACAATCTTTTAGGTTTATTTTTATCACTGTTACCTGGGATGTTGAGCCTTCAACGTGCCTGCTTGCACTATAAAGCCAATCTCTATATGCAACAACTGAATTAATGGGTTTGTTTTGTTTCCTCCAACTTCTTATTGGTGCTTTGATTTCTAGTTCCCGATTGTATGTTGTGGAATACTCCTGAAATAGGGCATCATGTCATGCTTGTGTACTATAGGAATCTAAGTATCTTTCGAACAACAGAACACTTACCTGTATACTTGAATCTGTACACCCACCATAAAACCTTCCTTGAGTCACTGCCATGCACTTTACATGCTTACCCTTAAAAATATTTTTTACTTCTCTTGATTCGTTCACTAACTGCAGAAGAACCCAAAAAACAAAAAAAACTATTGTAGTAATTGTCCCAAGTTTGTTTGCTGTAGGCAATAACAACTCTCATTCCTTTCTGTATTTCAAAAATCATGGAAGGTTTTGAAGCATAACCTTGATTCCCTGGCCCTGAGTAATAGCAAAAATCATTTGTCCATGTGCATGTAAATGATGAATTGGTTCCTTGAAGACAATCACTTCAATGCATTGCAACTTCCTATCGATCATTTTCCAGACCTATTGGATTTAAGTGATATTGAAGTGAACAACTCATTCTTTCTGTTAGAATACTAATTAGTGGAGATAGAAAGGGGTGGCTTTGAAACAAGTTCAGTCATACCCTTATGGTTTTATCAGTAGATCCACTTAAGAGGCTGTCTGACGGTTCAAGAAGTGAAAAGCATGTGACTGACTTCTTGTGCTCCTTAATGTCCCATACAAGAGTGGCTGATTGCCCCCTGATATCCCAAACCTGTTTGTAACATGATTTAGCAAAATAATAATATATGGACGTAAATATGAAAAATTATTTAAATTTGACAATGTAAAGTTTCTTGCCTTGATTGATCCATCTGAATATCCACTGAACAGCAGTCCCTTGTAAAATATGAGGGAGCAAACAGCTGCACTGAAGTTGTGACCAACCTCAAGGATTTGAGAGTGAACACAAGAAATACGCTGCTCGTATCATCATAAAGATGTCAGATACTCCAAATGGAATTCGGTTTGTCCAGTTTAGTTGCTATCTACTTAATATATAAGTTACTAAAAGCTAAATAAAATTTTTAACCTCCTCAGATCATTATTATATCATAATATCATTTTATAGTCTTTAAAAAGAAGAAGGAGGGAAAGATATTTATGTTCATTTCGCCATATTGCCACTGTATGATGATCTCCTGCGCATTGTGCACATCTTTCACTATATCAACTTTTATGGCTACCTAGACCCTCCTTTCTACCCAAAAAAAAAAAAACCTCTTATGAATACCTTATGGAGAACTTCGTAAGATCTTATTTAGAAATGCATGCAAGTCTTGCAATTATGCATGTGAATACTCACTGATATGTTTGGTAGCAAGTAATCAGCTACTCTATGCAATTCCTCAGCCATCCAGGTTACACTTGAAAGGCGGCGTAGTGATTCCTTCACACTTTCAGAGAAATGAATAAGTTTTTGCATTCCTATAAGAAAAAGACCATCTGACTTAGTAGGGTAAATCATTATAGATCCTGGAGTATAAGATCATTGCAAACAATGTTTTTTGCCAAGGATGAGGAAAATATTATGTTTTTCTAAGTTATTTCTCTAAACAAAATACTCACTGTGTTAGGTGCTCAAAATAACAAAAGGAAATAATAAGAACAAATCTATTAAGACGATATAAAACAAGAACCTTGTTCTCTCAATAACCACACTTAGGCGAATCTCCAATGAGTTAAAAGATTATTTTATTAATGATATACTAGCTTTTGAGTTGTTAGTCATATTTATAAAGTCAAATACAAAATAATGAATAAACTATAGATAACTAAATAACGAAAGACTAAATAAGATTTAAATCTAAATACGATCTAAATAAATGAATAAAATCTAAATCTAGATAAAGACTAAAATACTAAATATCTAAATGAAATCTCCTAAATAATATTCAAATAAATATCTGAATAAAATCTCCTAAATAATATTCAAATTTAAACAAAATAATAAAATCAGATTTAATTTATCTTTTTTTGCTTTCTTCTTGAATAAGTCTTTAAGGAAACCTTATTTGGAATCTTATCACACTGAAGTATGCATAGGCATCATAGCACCATTTGGATGGGAAAGGCAAAGAAATGCTTTTGGATTTAAACATAAAATATTTAGTTTGATTTTTTTTTTCCTGGCCAATATGTTTCGTAAGTTAATAGTGTACGATGGTGTTTAATTGATATGATCATGCAAGGGTTTTACCTTTGCCAGATGTATAGTTATAGATGCACAGGCACGCTAAAAGTCTTTCTTCCAGCTCCACCCCAGGATGTAAGAATTGCTCAATTTCACTTAGTAATATCTCACATGCAGAATATCTTATGCTATCTGGGCATTTTGATATCTGACACCCAAGCCATGCAATTGCCACAAGGCAGTCTCTTGAAAGTCTTTTTATTTTGCTTCTCAGCCCCTTCTCTAAAGCAAGGAAGATTGAATCTCCAATGCTTATGATATATTTGGCAATCTTATTACACCATAAATCTGTGCTAGTATCCTGCATGTTATGAAATTTCTTCATCTTCAAAATCATTTCCTGCACACTGCCTGTAATATTTATATAGTTTGAACTTCCTCAAATATGACCGTTCATGACAGCTCACCTGCAGGCTTTGATCCAACCAGTTGAAGTTTCGTATCATATTCTGGGGATATGGAGAGGTCAAACCAGTCTTTTTCAGCAGCCATGCTGCTGTATATGGTTCCCCGTTCCAAGCATATGTTCCAGCAAGATTTGATATAATTGATGCAGATAATAACTGCTCTGAGCTTTCTTCAGATGCCAATCCCCTGAGCAGGACCTGAACTACTTCCTCCCTGAACTCACTTTTGCTGGTAGAGTTCTGCATATTATTTTGTTCTCTTTATTAGTTTGAAGTCTATATGAAATTCAGTGAATCTAGTTGCATGACTTCTATTTATCAAGTAATCATTGAGTTATCAGTTTTCACAAGTTAACTTGTATGAATTTAAATGTTTATGGCTTATTGGCTAAATGTTAAATAATATTATGTGGTGATCACTTATTAAGTTACACTTAATTATGCAGGCTTTCAATATAGGAGATTAAAAATAATAGTTTGATATGTAAAATTCCTTGAAATCAATAGAGTTATCATAAGAGTAATAGAACTACGTTATATAATGAGTTAAGCTAATTTCTATTGAAAGAGTTTCATGAATGGAATACATGACCCATTAATTTTCCTCATTTCAAAACTTACCAACGCATCTAACTGAAGCAATATGTTTGCAGCTAAGAGTTGGTGATCAGCTTGTAATTGATGGACACACAACGTCAGTATCTGAATAACATTGGAACCTCCTTCCTTTTGCATCCGCTGCAACAGACTAACAGCTGAAGACCTGAAAAGAAAGAGGAAAAATAAAATCACAGAAAGCTCTCCTATGTTCTCCTAAGACAAGGACTAAGCGAACAGCAAATATATGGACAAAGCATGATTGTTTCTGTAATAGAAAAATAGATAGGGAGCACTGTCTCTGTAGCCTCTTCTCTTTTGTTGGTCTGGTTTCACGCTAGACTCATGCTAGGTTTAGGAGAGAACGCATGCATATCCAAATATATGCACTTGGAATACTTTTAGCAAGACATAACTTTAGAAATATCTTTAAGGATCATTAACGTCTTGTTTGGAATTCCATTCAAGACTAATTCACCATCACAGAAGCAACTTTACAAGTGCTTTTGTTTATGGTATGGGGTAATGCATCATATCTCCTGGTGTTGCATGATATTTATCTCAATTCTTTTCAAATACAAGATGAAACATACTTATGAACAGATGTTACACAACTATTAAGATAGAAAATGATATGTTTAAGTAGTTATACCGAGGTATGCAAAGGATTTCATGAAGAAATTCGAGTGCCATGTGTTTGGCACGGTTGCTGTCTGTCTTGAGGAGTTGAATAAAAGGGGCAAGAGGAGTGGACTGTGATATGTACTCTCTGCACTGTGAATCAAACTGCATACATTTTATAAGAATGATGATCAAAGAGAAAACCTCTTTCAGATTATCATTTCTCACAACTTCAAGGAGTCCACTGAGAACATGAGGAGAACTGATAGCAGCCAAGTGCATGTTATTTGTGGCATAATCAAATGAAGTTACTAATTCTTCAATGATCATCAAGGATGCTGCATGAGGCGTTAGCAGAAGTGACTCTGGCTTACCCTTGTAACTACGGGAAGTGCACACAATCTCCATCAGAGTTGGCAGAAGTTCCAGTGTTTTAATATCGATGGGAGATGGGTTTATTAAATATATGAGAATTGCAGCCTCCTGAACATTTTGTTTTAAAGCGCTTGCCAGATCATACAACTTCAAACCTTTCTTCTTGATGTCTTCTATGATCGACTTGTTCCTTGAAATAATAGTTGTTAGCATAGAAACCGATGCCCTTATTTCTCTTTCCTCTTTGGAGGTAGAGATAGCCATTAACAGTTCATCCAAAATAACATCCTTTAAGAAAGCATACGTGCTACAAGATGAACTAGACAAAATCTCATAAATGGATGCAATATCTGAATGATGAAAAACTGAGCTTTTTATTTCAACTGGTCCAGCTAGATCACTGATGAAGTATCTTCTGGAGTGTGAACTTACTTCCATCAGGCTTCCTGGATCTGATGATCTTGGCAATTTTCCTTCAGAACTTTCTGCATGATTCATTTGGTTGATCCTGCGTTTGTGGGAAGACATTAATGCTATCGGATCACAGAGATGTGATTTTTGGAGCTGCAAAGCTTCTTCAATTAGTTCATCATCAATATTATAATTGCTTTCTCTATCTATGTACTTTGAGATGGTTGAAGCAATGTCTCTCATGGAAGTGGTGAATCTTCTCGAGTCAATGCTAACCATGCTTCTTTGGTCTAACTGTTCATGCACCAGATTTTGAGGTTCCTGATGCCAACTGGAGCATTGATATAGCTTCCTACAAAGGTTGGTATATTAAATTCCAGAAGATAAACATGAGAAAAATAAGAGACTGTGAAAGAATCTGTTAGAGGGACGTACCAGTCAGATGTTTCTGGCGGTGGATCATCTTCATTTGTCGTGTTGGTTCTGATGTGATATTTACTGTCATCAAAATTTACCTGATTTAAATGAAGATGAGTTAGCACTCACCTGTAGACTCTTATTTATTTGTCGTCCTTATGTGTAGAGACGTTATTTCTAGTTCTTTTGTCAACTATGAAGCTTCAAAAAATAATGGGACGATTATATACAAGTCCTGTACAAGAGAATTAATTATTATAAGGTCCATTAATAATTAAATTAAGGCCATTGAAAAATATGTTGTTATTTTTTTTAGTTTAATTGTTAATAGACCTTGTAATAATTAATTTTTTTGTATGGGACTTCAACGTAATTCTCTCAAAAATAATTACCAAATTCCTTTTGTCTCTAAAGTCCTCATAGCAAGAATCTACAGAAGTTGGGACGCTAGATTGGGCTTCTGTCAACATATCCTTGAAGCATTCAATGCTTGAAATTCTTTGATGTTTTTTGCTGTGAAGATGAGCTGAGGCTTTCCTATGATCATTACTTTTAGCAATATCCATGAATCCATTTACTTCGTCTGTCATAACTGGTGTCATATCTTCTTGAAGATCAAGTGGATGCACTTTCTTATGCTGCATTGTATTTACGCCACAAAACTAAACAAATAAACATTTATGCATCTAAAACTTCGGCATTGCTACACTGTATGTGAAAATTGAAATCACCTGTTTATGCTAATGAAGGAAATAAGTACAAGGCTTACCGTATTGCAAGTTCGCAATCTAGATGCATCTTGAACTTTATAAGAAGATACACGGCTGGTATTTGGTTCAATCCTGTCAAAAACTTGGATTCAACATCTTGAATTGTAACGTTCATTGATCGAAGTTAAGGATTGTGAAGCTATACTAGTTTTTGAGCCACATAGGCAAACTCGTAATGCTCATCCGTAACCAGGAAGCATAAAGCAGTTGAAGAGTCTTCCAATGTGCACAAAAAAAAAAAAAAAAAAAAAAAACCCAAAAACAAAATCAAAACAAAAGGAAATCTGTTTCAAAGCTGTAATTTTAATTCTTTCTCTTTGACTCAACAGTTTAGTCTTCAGTGGGCTTCTTATCTAATTCCATGTATAGAGGTCTGTGAGTGCATTACTTGGTTGCTTGTTTCAAAGCTTAAATTCTTTGTAATTGGACAGAAAGAACTCTAGTTCTCATGATTGAGGTCACATGAATATCTCCGCCAGTATATAAACGTGGCTCTTCCAAAACTAAATCTCTTGTATGTCAGAGAAAAGAAAAGGAACATTTTTTTTTAGTTTCCACTTTCCTACCATTAACTACTAAAAACAAGTTGCTTTTGGTAGAGGAAGAAAGGATTTGTCTTACAAGGAATGTACTGATTGTTCTCCGCAATACCTGCGCCACCATGGAGTCTCTGCATAAAACATGACCCTATAATACATCAAACATTCCTTGTATTTCCTTGCCATCTCCCTTATAGCTGTATTGATCTCCTCTTCGGTATTCTTTGTAGAATCAGATTCCCTACTCGTACTGGCACATCCTTCCAAAGGGAAAAGAGTCTCACAAAGCTTTGGTGCAAATTCTGCGCAAACAAGCTTTGGAGAGACAAGCACTGCTTGCAGAAAATGCAGGGCTGCTTGCCACTCATCTCCTTGGAGTTTCTGAACCACTGAGAGGCAAAAGTATGAGCAACACACCAAGTAACGATTTGGGATTGTGGCTGTGACGCCTTCTTCATCAAGCATGGCTGGGACCTGAAGCATCTGTTCCGTGTTGCTAAGCCGAAAGCATCTCTCTTCAGGCTCTTGGGTCTGAATTGCAGCTTCAATGGCGTCAATACCCCAGTACAGATTTGACAGGACTTGCTGCTCTGAGAATTCAAAGAACTCCTGCTTTTGAACCCTCAATCTAGAGCTGCATCTCAGTTTAAGGCCACTCCTGGCATTCTTTATGGCTTCAAGAATGTACTTGTTGATTGAAACAAGAACCCATATAGATTTGGAGTCAGGCACCTCATCATGATAGCCAAGAGATGAAATCACAGACGAAGAAGGAGGGTTGAAGTTATTAGGCATGATGATGTCGAAAGTAGAGAAATTTGAGACTGTAGAAGATGAGAAGAAGAGAGAAGGAAGGAAAGAATTGGAGTTACTATATTTGCAAGCTTCCAAAGAAATGGAGGTTAGCTCTTATAAGCCTAAAGTTGCAGTTTCGTCCCGTGACTGTGCCAACAAGATTCCAAGACTCGTTTGGCCACTTATGATACTTTAGAAAAAAACTTCACGTGTAACTTCTAATCTTTTCCTATTACACAACAAGACGAGATTTTTCACAGCTTACGTAAGTGTCTTCATATATATATATATATATATATATATATATTATTTAACCCCTTTTACAAACTTCATTTGAAATGGTCGCTCCCACTTGCCAGAACCACTCAGCTTCGGATATTTTGGGTTTATCGTTGCCATTAGTCACATTTCCCAATAGATTTCCTCTTCCTCTTCTTCTTCTCTGATTGTTTTCTGGGTTTTTGTCTTGGAAACTGATGTGCATTTGTGTGTGTGTGTGTTCAGACACAGACAGATAACATCAGCTGATGTTGTTCACAAGGTGAAGGTGGGAGTGGGTAGAGGAGAGGGGACAGGTATCGACAACTGTGAGCTCGTGGCACAACAGAGAGCATGTTGACCTATCAGAATAAAATGGACCGTTTGCTCAGATAATTATTATTGTTTTAGTATAGTTGCTTTCCCTTCTGCTCATTCACGAGCGGACGTTCAATGGAATAATGATTTCGCATTACAAATAATAATAATATGATGATGATAATCAAAACATAAAATTGAAGACTTAAATTAAATAAAATCTTAAGTATTTGTTATTGTATTTTTGAGTAAGAATGCGATAAAATTAAGAGAAAAATTGTATTTTTATTTTGATTATAATTTTCATTTTAGGTTTTTATTATAAATTAATACTCCCTCTGATTCATATAATGTAGGATACTTCTATTATATAGCACGTATATTCGGAATGTTTAATTTTTAAAATTTGATAAAAAAATTCATTTATTTTTTAGGTTTATATTTTTTCTTTACCCATAGCTAAACATTTAGACACTCACAATTTCACATGCAAAATACTCAGCTTAAGTTAACCAAAACATGGGATAAATATTAAAAAAATATTTCTTAAAATTACTACTCTCTCCATTAAAAAATATAATATATTTTTAATCAAATCTCACTCTTAATAACATAATTAATTATCTTCAAATTAACATTATTTTTAAATATTTATCCTTATTTAATAAGGTGTTTCACTTTTAAAGTAAATATAAAATAATTTATTTATTATGAGCACTTTTGAAAAAAAAAACACAATAATTACACTTTAAAATATTAAAAATATCTTATATTTTTAACATTTAATTCCACAAAAAATAATTTATATTTTTTAATAGAGAAAATAAATGCCACATGCAAAATTAATTGATAAGCCCTCCCTGTCTTTTTCTTTTTTTTTTTTTACTCAACTTGTTTTCACTTGAATGGTATTAGATTAGTACTAGGGTGATCAAACCTGGCAACTAGACAAAATGAACACCCTTATGTGAGTGTGATATAATTTAATGAGCTAATTGATAGTATTTTGCATACTAAACAGCTGCACCTGCACCCACTTCATTCACTCCCCCGCGCTTGTACCAAACACTTGCAGAAAAATTACATGAATTATTCGTAAATCATATCCTTTTTATCAGCTTTTCAATAAAAAAAATAAGCTTATTAAAAAGAATTATTAAACATATGTATGTCAAATGCTGTATATTATCTTCGAATATAAAGAAAATGATCATCAAATTTATAAAATTACAAATCAATTATGATTGCTATTTAATATCTTTGTGGTGTAGAGCATGACTTCATAGACTCAAAACTCAAGAAAAAAGGGCTTGCAGTCCAATGGCAATTAACATTTTTTCTAGGTGTCTCTTAAAGGAAATGTTACAAGTTTGATTCTCTGTCGGTGACAAGGACGCGAGTTCCTTCTATTAAGTGTAGGATAACAGAAAAAAAGGACTTCAAAAGGAAAAGGCTAGAAATAAAATATATGATATTACGTATAAATTAAAATTAAAATTTAAAAGCCAATAGATAATTTAAGTTTTCATCCTCTTCTCAAATTCTCCTCATTGCTTACTACGATAATCTAGAACAACCATGCATTTTATAACTGTTAATTTGTTAACGCCGCATACAGTTTTTCCTCTAGCATATTAGCATTTAAGCATAATTTTAGGTTCTGTAATTTGATATTGCAATTTGCATCACATGGGACAAGCTGGAAAAAACTTCTCCTGTCCATAGCACATGTTAAATACTGTTTATCATGGGATCGCATTAATTTGACGCCCCAGGTCATTAAACATCAATGACTCAGAAACATCCTCCTGCCATAAAGGAAGCGCAAAATTAACGTGTTTAATCCAACAATGTAAGTCAAATAAGTCTAGCAAAGCTTCCTCAAGCTATGGAATCTGCACTCCAATGATGCTAAAGCATCTTCCAACTCATCTTATAATGTGTTAACATGCCTCACGTCTATTAACATAAGTCATTGCCTTCAATAACTCCATCACCAAAATGACAAAAAGCCTTGACATTTTGGTCTCGTTCTCAGTTTTCCTGCCTCCCTCTCAAATATTTGCAGGCCACGGGAAAGCTATGACTTACTTATTATTCATTTGTAGCCATGTTCTGCATCATGAATATGACATAACAGACAATCTCATTTACTATCCCTTGCAGAATGAAACACCATTTTAAGCACATTTACTAAAGACTACTCTTAAATCAAGAAAAGGTACTTGATCAGCTAGTGAGGTATCCCAGCCGCGGAAAGAGCCACTCCAATAGAGATTTTAAATGCCCTGAAGAATTACATGTACGCTAAAACTCAGCATCTGAGACATGGCTTCTTCATCAAGCCAAGTGGAGAATAATCCAGGAAATCATTTTAACTACCCAGGTGCACAGAAGCATACCTAAACTCAAAGGAGAGAATTGTAGGAGGTAAACAAATAATTTTGGCATGCCAGGCGATCAAGTCAAGGACAGAACAGAAAGAGAACTCATAGCAAAAGTACTACTGCATGGTTATTTATGCCAAATACTAATGACATCCTGAACGATGCATCACCAGCACTTGAACCTTTTCACTATTTTGTGTGTTGTGTGTGGAATGCAGGGTTGGGAGGGATAAGCGCAAAAAGCCAGATAGAGAGAACCAAAGTACCACTGGGTAGCCATTAGTGACAAGTGACAACATACATGTTGAATAGTCTGACAGAAAAGGAAATCAGGTAAGAGCTCATAATGCCCACACTGCCCCGAGGAACGAAAACCCTAATATTGAACAAGAAAACACACTATAAGAGCACGAGCCAAAAACTCGATGTACATCACTATTTGAAGCGAAAACTAGTAATGGCTTTCACTCGTGAAACTTGATTACAGGTCTGAAACTTCCATTTCCACTTCTACAGGATAAAGCAATAAAACTAGTAAAATTCCACCGCCTGAAAATCAGCCTCTGATTTTTTTTCCAACTAATTAATTGATCAGAGCAGTAGCATGACAAGGGGAAAAAGGGTTTCTCCCAACTATCCTAACGCAAATCTAGCAGTGTCAAAAAGTGGAAGATGAGCTCATAAAACAACACAAAAATGTATGCAGAATGAAATAGAAAGTAAAGGAAAAGAATATTTCAACCCATTAAAAAAATTATATAACCTTCACATCCCAAAAAAAAAAAGGAACAGAGTGTTACCTTCAAGCTACACCAAGCTTCTGAAGCTTTTCACAGTAAGGAGTTGGCAGATTCCTATTCCAACTACGCCTCTGAACTTCTATTTGACAGTAGCGACGAAGCAAGTTTTTGTAATCATGTATCACATTGCCTTCAGTATTTGCACGGGCAGGACTTCCACGCGGATATTTATCTTCAAATGATTCAGATTTCACAAAATACTCAACCCCATACTTGTCTGTTGTCTTGGGAATCTGATACGAGTAATTCTTATGCAAAGAATAGTCTGGTTCGGAAAATGGCAAGTAAGCAAGCAGAAATATTATCAAGAACGGTACAATTTGCAGAAGGAGCATAATATTGAACCCTCCACCTTGAAATTCTTGCCGCTGTTGACTCCCCATTCCCCTTGTCCGGTAAATATGAGCTCTCCCAAATACATCTGCTTCTCCAAAGAATGCCCTAAATATCTCATCAGGATCAATGTCATCATTAAAAAAGTTATGTGCAGTTGCTCTTCCTCTCCTGCGCCTAACATTGTGTTGCTGGTTATATTCAAACTCCTCGACCAGCCCTGTCTGATCATACTGCCTCCTTGAACCATCATCACTTAAACACTTAAAAGCCTTGGATACCTTCTTAAATGCCTCTTCAGAACCCGGTGCCTTATTCTTGTCAGGATGAACTTTCAATGACAATTTCCTATAAGCCCGCCTGATCTCCTCAACAGAGGAAGTCTTCTCCACACCAAGAATGGCATAATAATCGTTCTTCCCCTTAATCTCCCTAACTAACTGAACATGTTCTTCTGTATAATTTCTCTCTCCATTCAAACCTCACTTGGCCTGGAACCACGTTCCCTCTTAACCTGATGAACACCATTTTCATCCCTAGAATGCGTAGATGATTGAGAATCAAGCCTCTCACATGTGGTAAGTAACTCTTCCACTGACAGATTGCGATTCAGCCGCTGTGCAATTTTGATAAATTTAAGGGCACGCCCTTTGTTCCCTGCTGCAATCGCCTCCTCAGCGATGCGGATACACCTCAGAGCTTCATCCTTATTACTGTCCATGATCAAACGAACTTTGACAACTCGACTCTAGTCCTCCACCTAATACGCCCTAACTCATCCTCAAGCTTTTCCCCAAAAAATCACTGACTAAACAACAAAAAAATATTGAATACTAATCAGAAACAAGAACGGCAAACATGAAATCTCGAAGAATTGCCAAGTGATTTCTGTGACATTTCAATTAAAAAAAAAAAAGAGCAAAGTAAGCATACAAATCGATAAAATCTGCGAAGCAAAAATGAGGTCGAAGTAGGGTTTCTATCACCGTAGAGAAGAAACGATAGGGATGTACCTGAAGTACCTGAGAGGGGAGAGAAGGGGTAAGTTGGGAAGGTGAGGATGGGGCACAAGACGACCGATGGAAGAGCTTCCGTGCGATATTTGCATAGTGCATGTTTGGACAGATGAGATAATCAAAAAATTTTCGTAAAAATATATCTAAACATGTTTATGCAAAAATAAAAATAAAATTTTTTAAATTATATAAATAGTATTTTAATTTTTTAAAATGTTATAATTTTCTTAAAATTTATAAAAAAAATTTTATTATTAAAAATTAATATAAATGATTAAGTTATCCTTAATTTAAATATTAATTATTATTCTTAAATTTTATTTTAAGATTCACAAATTTTTTTCTTAAAATCGCAAGAATTTAACAATAATTTATAAGTTTATATTTAAATTTGTTGTTTATCAAATTTTATAAATATTAATTTCATTCATAAGTTTTGTTTTAAGATTCACTACTTTTCTTTTTAAAATTTTAAAAATTCAACAGTAATTTATAAGTTTAAATTAAAGACAATTTGATCATTTACATTATTTTTTAATGATAGAAAAATTTTTAAAATTTTTAAAAAATTATGATATTTTAAATGATCAAAATTACATACTTCAAAAAAATTTTATTATCATTTTTCTTATTTTTATACATAATAAAATTAATTAAGATATCAAAATTATGATTTTTTTAAAAAATTCAAATGTTCATTATACACGTTAAAAATAATTATAAATAAAAGTTATGATTTTTTAAAAAAATATGGAAACATTCTATCCATACCGAAATTAATTATATACTTAGAATTATGATTTATAAAATAAGGTTATATCCTTTTTGGATAACTTTTTAAGAAAGTATATGGCATATTTGTTTAATATTAAAAAATACTCTCTCCGTTAAAAATGTAGGACATTTTAACTGAATCTTACCCCAATAAAGTAGTTACATACTTTCAAACTAATTCTGTCTTTTTATATTTATTTATATTAAATACTCTATATAAATATAAAGTCACTTTCTATAAGAACACTTTTAGAAAAAAGGTAATAATTACACCTCAAAAGATTAAAAATACTTTATATTTTTTAATATTTAACTCCTCAAAAAATGTTTATATTTTTGAACTAAGAGAGTTGATCATTTTTGAATAATTTAATTATTTTATAAAAAACTTATTTTGTTAATATTTATATAAAATATATATATTATTTTCATATTTTGTTGTTGTAATAAAAATTATTAGTTCATTATTTTTAAATTTTATAATATTTTCTTTTATTTTTATTTTATAAAAATAATTTATTATTTTTATTTTATACAAATATTTATTATTTTATTTATTTTGAAAATTTTATAATATTTTCGTATTTCTACTTTTTAAAATATTTTCTCTCATATGTTATAGTAAATTATTTTCATAAGCTATTTAAAATAACTTGTTAAAATAATTAAGAAAAAAAACCATGACTTTATGTCATTAATTGATTTTGGCTATAGGAGTGCTTGAATATTTTTTAAAAACATAATAGTTATAGGTTTATAATTTATTTTGACATGTACTTTTTTTGTTAGAGAAACTATCACTTTTAATTTGTATTTTTTTATAAACAAAATCACCCATTATAATAAATATTTATTACACATTTCTTAAATCACTTCTCATAATTTATGTTAATGAAAATAATTAATGTATACTTATATTGATTAACACAAGGTATTTTAATCTATTTTTTTATTTTTAAACATAATTATGACAGTTAGCTAACCTTCTTAAATTATGTAATTCAGTTTTTTCCTTTTAAATTTTAAGAAGGAAGGATTGAGTATAATAGATGTTTGGATTTTAAAAAAAACATGTTTTTGAGTTTATAATTATTTTGGTAACACATAGGTATTTGACTATATTTTCATGCAATTATAGTTTTAACTGCTTTTCAATTCTATTTAAAATCAATTTTACATAATTACAAATTATAGTTCTACTGATTAAGGTTTTTGAGGAACGCGCCTAAAGTTGCTATCATCATTTAAAAAAAAAAACATGTAAGGTCATGAAAACTGAGCAACAAAAAACTAAAGCGTGTAAGAAAGCAAAAGCTTAGACATGATTCATTTCATGCTTATTTTATAGCTACCAACATAAAGTTGGGAATATAGACCAATGCAAACCATGTGGGTACAGAGAAATATGAATTAGATTGGGTTTAAGATCAATTTATTTTAACATGTGTTAGAAAAATCTCAATCCAACCTTTGAGAGTTGGCATATTAAATGGATTGACCCAGAATTTTTTTTTTTCAATTTATTTTTGTGAATTAAAAAAATACATCTAAATGATGAATTTCAGTTTGATATTCTTTCATAATTCATTATAGATGTAGCAAAATATTAATTTATAATATTTGCACAAATATATAAATTGATTTAGTTAAGTAAGTCATACTTAATATGATTTATAATCACAAAGTTCCCATTTTTAAATTTAAAAAAATAATAAGAGTTAAACATATCAATTCTACCCCATTAGCATTAACATATATGACTCACGAGTCATATGGTCTAAGTCATAAAAAGGTCATTTTATTTGCATTTATTTTCTAACTTAACTTAACACAATTCTTTTAACCAGTTACTTGTGCCAATCCATGTAACCCGATTCTACTTCTAACTTTATACACGGTTAAAAGCTTTAAAGTTTTGTTTACTGTGGCTATAATGAAATTTTTTCAATGCAAATGAAACAAGGAAACAAATAAAATTTAAATTGCAAATATAATATAGGGATAATTTCAATAAAGGCCCATTGACTAAGTTTATTCAAATTCAAAGCCTCTAAATTTATTAAATTTAATTGTAGTCTAGGGGTACTAATTTGATATTATATTTATAAATAAAAAAAACGTTGCCTCTCATTTAAATTAATATTAAAACTTTCTTATTTGACCCGTTCTTTCTCTTACTTTACTTATCAATTTACTTACGGAATCTTAGCATTGCCTTGCTTAACTTGTTTTTATTTTATATGTTTAAATCATCTTAAGATAACTTGTTGGTTCGCCCACTACATAATATTCATTAACTTACGCATTGTTATTCATTACTCTACTTTACTCATTCATTGTCAAACTTCACTTAACTTCATTTCAGGATAATGAACAAGTGAAATAAGGCATTAACACAATTTTGTAAGTAAAAAAAACAAGTAAAATATGACAATTCTAATATTAATTTAAATGAGAGATGTTTTTATCTTTTTTTTAAAAAATTTAATATCAAATCAATATCTTTAAATTGTGGTGAAATTTTAGAACTTTGAGTTTAAATAAGCATGGTCCAATGGTTTTTATTGAAATGTTTCCTATAATATAATCAAACTCCAGGATATGATATATTGATAAAATCTAGATATATATATTTTTTAATGCGTGTTCTAAGTAATTCAGAGATTGAGTACTTCAATCACTTGGCTCGTACCAGAATTGTGCACTTTGCTAGTTTGCTAAGGGTGAAAGACTCCAAAGAGCTAGCTGTCTCTAGATTCTATAATTCATGTCAAAATCGAACTAAGAGCTTAACACTGAAGACCCTCATTGTTGCCTCCGTCACCTTCGTGTGCTCGGTGCTTGCTCTATTGCCTTAAACCGCCATTGCTAGGTGACGTGGTCCCTTAGCTTTCCCATGCCTTCAAGTATAATCTCCACGTTCGAGTCCATGGAAGCTCGTAGGTCCTGTGTTACCCATGTTCACCATTGTTATACGCCACAATCAGCTTTGAGGAACTTGAATTCATTGGGCTGCAAACAAGTTCAAAGCAAATTTTGCTTGCGGGGTGATTGAGACAAATAAAACAAGTTTTTAGTAAACTCTAAGTGCGTGCTTGATTTTTTATTAATTGAAAGTCAGTTTAATTAAAATCAACTATTAATAAAATTTGTATTTAAATATATATTTTTAAAAATTAATTTGATAAATTGAAAATTATGTGAATTATAAATGGTAAAATGTGCTTTTAAATATATAATTATTAAAAAATACATTGATTTATGATGATTTATAATTTTTATTATACAAATATAATATATTAAAAATATTTAAAAATGTGATAAAAATTTTAAATAACATAAAATTTGATATATTAAATGATAAAAATTAAAAGAATATAAAATTTAACATATTGAAAAAAAATATATACAACAAATAGTTCAGAAATTGTATATAAAAAGAAGTAAAATTCATAATCATTCACTCCAGTATATTATTATTTTAATTTTTAAATATCTAAATACATATGAATGCAAGCTTTAATATTCTCAATTTCTCATGTCATTTAATTAAGAGAAATATATATGGAGGACTTTGACAATTCAAAAAGAATCAAAGGCTGAACACAAATAAGAAAAAAATGATTTGTTATATGTATGGCATGTGTAAAATAAGAGGTGACATGGGAAAATAACAGGACAAACAAACCTCATTTATAAGTCAGTTTGAAAAGTTAGGAAGAATTAAGTTGGCTTAATGTGAATTGAATAGTATTCTTAGAGTACTTTCAAAATTCACTTTTATTTCATGATTTTGTTTTAAACAACTTTTAACTTTTAGGAAGTGTCAAAAATAATTTTCAAAAGTTAAAAGCTAATTATCTAAACATACTCTCTCTCTCTCTCTCTGCGCGTGTGCGTGTGCGTGTAAGAAGGGGTGCTTCACAAGTGTGTCAACGTCCCAGTTAGCTTGATGAGATGAGTTATAGCTCTTAGATTCACAGCCCAACTACGATGTAATAATTCCCTATTCTCTAAGATAAAGCTTATGTACTCATGTAACTTAACATCTCCACCGTTGATCAAATTAATAGCCTTGATAGGATCATTATGGAGAATGATATTTGTTAACCTCTATCCCAAGCATACTTCAATCCCGTAGAACATGCCCACAATTTTGTAGTGAGGGCATCCCCATATTGGAGTTGATATGCAAAAGATCCCACTATCATCCTATTTTGATCCTTCAAGATATCCTACAGCCTGTGACATCTGTCATCTCTAAACAAGCTCTATTTACAAACACTCAAAAACTCAAAACTATTTTGGCACACCTGTTAAGATGTATTCTGC